TCCCCGCCGCTTCTCACGCTTGTTTGCTCCTCGCCTTTCCTCCCCCCACTTGCCACGGGGACGCCGCCACAAAAAGTTTGCCGGTTTTCCAGTTTTAACGACGCCCGGCGCGGCTCAGCATCTCCCATCCCACCCCGATGCCCCGGTCCGGGAGATGGAGAGCGTCGCCGTCATCGCCGTCATCATCCCAGGGTGGGATTTTAAGCGTCACCCTCCATCCCCTTGGAGGCGAACCCGCTTATCCCCTAAATCCACGCCGGATTACGAGCCGCCCCGTCCCAACTCCGGGATCTTAAAAGCGGTGGCGGCGGTGGGGAGATAACACGTGGCACAAACACACAACCGCGGCAGCTTGTTCCCAACCCTCCGAGCCCGGCAGATAATTTCCTGGCTGGACCGGGTTCAGGTTGCCAGGAGGGGCACTCAGAGCGGCTTAACGATTTACGCGCCGATTTACGAGCCCGCGCACCCGTCCTCCGCTGGAAAAGCCACCCCGCTTAGATTCCTGCCGCTGGACCCCAAAGCTCGTCTGCAGGTGATATAAAGGAATTAATTAAAACCATCTCCACCCCCACACACACACACACACTCCGGTTTCGATGCTCGCCGGGGTCTCCATCTCGCCGCGCGACCCCCGTGGGTACGGCAGTTCGTAAAACGCAGCCGGTGCCGCTCCAAGGGATAAATTTGGGGTTGAGAGGATGGGATGAGGAGCCCAAAGGGATGGTTTATTAAAACAAAAGCCCCTGCAGGAGCTCAGAGGAATGGTTGGGAAGCTCAACCATGAGAGGAGGAGGAGGAGGAGGAGGGGCGGGGGGAACCTCAGATCTCCCCCGCCGCCAGCGTCAAAACCTTGCGAAAAGCAGGGATTTTGGGGTGAAACGAGGGCGGGAGCGGGCGCAGGAGGAGCGTGCGCCGCCCTTGGGAAGCGCAGAACAAAGGAGAAGGCCGAGGGGGTGTCTCGCACAAAGGCTTTCTCCTCCTCCCCCCCCGCCAGGCGCTCCTCTGCAGGAGCGGAGGGAAAAAAAAGTATGGAAACAACCTGAACCCCCCCCC